GATGATGCTTCGACCACAAGAGACCACAGCGTGAAAAAACCCAAAGGAGGGGTGAGAAAAAGAGCGTGGGGGGGGAGGCAGCGCTGCCTCACTTCATTGCTGCATGAATAATATTCGTAATTTGTCAAAAAGGTTGGCCAAATCCCAAAATACAAAAACGGAAAGAGAAAACCAGAAACAGAAACAGAAAAAATACAGCGCGAGGAGAGCAGCGGCGATTGAGCCACAGCAGAGCATCCCCCGGAAAAACTGACCCGGCCCCCAAGGAGGGCCTCCCCCCCCCTGCCCCCCCACCCCACCTCAAAGGACCTTTGGCGAGCTGTTGCCATTATTTCACGCTTCTCAGCTGCTGGCCACAAAAGCAGCGTGGGTTGGGGGTGGGGGAGGGGGGATGCCAGAGGAAAAGCGAAATAAAACCGAAATTTCCTCTTCGCATTTGCAGCGCTTTATTAAACTTTTTCCCTCTTTTTGGGTTGCGGGGGGGCTGTGGAGGGGGGGAGGGGAAATCCCCAAAGTTCCTGTGTCATTTTTTTCGGTCTTCACGTTGCTCAAATTTTTTGACAGAAACTGTCAGACGGGGGGAGGGGAGGGTACTGAGGGATGAGGATTTTATGCTACAAGTTTTTTTTCCTCACTTATTTTTAGAGAAAACAACAAAAAAATCTTCACGCATTTGGCAAATTATCTTTTGATCCGACTGCTTAAATTGCGCACCGCCCACCCCCCCGGCCCCCACGCCCCAAGCAAAATACCGAGGAAAATGCGTTAACACAATTTCACTTTTGGCAAAGCTGAAAAGGAAGGCTTCTTCGTGCTCCTGGCCCCCGAGCGTGGACACATCTAAGCCATGGCAATCGTCTGCCCTAAGTAGTGGGCCAACTCTCTCAACCCTCAAGGGCTCTCCCTCTCTCTCTTTCCCTCCTTCTAAGGCCGTCCCTTTTCTCCACTCTCTCTCTGTCTTTCTAGCTGTCTTTCGCCCCTCTTTTAGAGCTGTCTTTCTCCCCTCTTCTAGAGCTGTCCTTCTCCCCTCTCTGCAGCTGTCCTTCTCCCCTCTCTGCAGCTGTCCCCCTCTAAGAGCTGTCTCTCCTCCTGTCTTCTGTCTCTGTCTTTTGCTGCCCATCGAAAAGTAGTTTGCGCGCAAATCCTCAAGTTAAGCAAAACTCTTCAGGACATTAAGTGCAGCGCCAACAGACAACAAAGTCCAGAAGTTTTCTCCCCCCACACACTCTCTCTCTCTCTCTCTCTCTCTCTCTCTCTTTGGCCCCTCTTTGTTCCTCCTGCCGGCAACTGCCAAACGGATGATGGGCCGGGATCAACGTTTTACCCAAAAGCCAGGGCGAGAAAAACTTTTTCCACAGCCATCCAGAACGTGCAACTTTTTGGCTACGAAGGAAGTTCTTTTCATTGTCTTACCCCCACTGACAGGTTGAAGGTCCTGCCCCCCCCTCCCCGGCCCGGCCCCTCCCGACTGTCGCTTATAATGCCCACAATGAAGTGCACTTTTCATACTCGAAAGGAATTGAAAAGTTCTTGGAGGGAAAGCAGCAGCTCCGGGCTCTGCCCTCGGAAAGTGGCATTTTCTATGTTGTGTATTTTCTATTTTGTGAACGGCTAGAGATTTACCCGTGAATAGCTGTGAATAGCAATGAATAAATGTGAATCCTAGACAATCATTTACCCAATCATAAATTCATTTATGCCTGGACCCTGCCCCCTACCCTGCCCCCCCTCCTGGTGTCAGCAACAAGCACTCGAATAAAACTCTTTCCCTCGGAAATGGCGAGAAACACTTGTTGCAAATATTTGTTGGCTGTCGCTTAAATTTATGACCCCAAAAACAACAAACAAAAAAAGGAGTCGACTCGAGGCAGAAGCACAGGATTTGGTGGCAGACTGCAGCAAGTTTTCCTTCAGCAAAGAGGGACACAAAAAAGGAGCCGGGAATCGTTTTCGAAACTTGGTAAATATCAAAACAACATTAACGCAACATCCCAGGGAGGGGGCGGGGGAGGAGTGCCACTCGGGGCACTCGGGGCACTCGGGACCCTGGCCCTGAGTAACAACTTAATTGAAACCGAGTTTCGTTTCGTTTTTCCCCCTCTTTTCCCTCCTTTTGGCTTCCATTGTGGAGACATTGTCTGTGGGCTTCGGTTCTCCTCTTTTTTTTTTCTTCTTTGGGGTCGCGTCTCTTCTGCGCCTTGCCCCGTCACGATCGGAACCTTTATGCCACTTTTTGTTGCTGTTGTTGCAACCTAATGCAACGCTTGAAATATGTCCAGGCGTTAAGTGGTTGCAATCGCTGTGTGGGTACAGTGGGCCCTCAGAGAGCCACAAGATTTGAGCGGCAAATAAAAGATTTTAGGGATCCCCCAATTGTGGCACAGAAAAATATGTTGTCAGAAGTAATGAAGGATAAATGGCATTTGAATATATATAATTATAGGTTGAATGTATGCGAATTTAGGAGAACCACAAAAATATGCACCTAAAGCAAACCAAAAACTGACTTCAACTTGGGGCAGATTCTAGAGAAGATACTGGAAAAGATCTTGGAGAAGATCCTGAAAAAAATGCTAGAAAAAAGTCCTAAGAAATCCTATGGAAGATCTTCAAAAACATCGCAAAGAAGATGATTAAGGATCATGGATCATGGCCAAGAACGAATTATTGAAGCCTGAAGAAGGTCCTTCTCCTAGCAATGCTTTGAAAATAAGCTGCCTATAGGATCTTCAACTATATCCTTCATTATTATAAGCTATTTCTAGAGGTTTTAATCTTCGAAAAATCTATAACGTCCCTCTGCACAAAAATTCTCAAAAAAATCCCAAAAATTCGCTGCAAAATCCCTGCCATACCGATCCTCAATTTCCCCAAATTCAGGGCAGCTTCCAGCCTTGCTATTTCCAGAAATTTTTGTCCCACTGTCTCCTCTATTTATGGGCTATGCAAAATGCAGGGAAACCGGGGGACAGGGGGCAGGGGGCAGGGGGCAGGGGACTGTGGCACTGTCGAGGAGAAAAAAAAACCCCTCTAAGCAGAAATAAACTCGTATGCATTTAATCATCGTAACTTAAGCTTCGAGGATCATGTTGTGGCACAGTGAGAATGCCCCAGCCGCTGCTGCCGCCGCGGGAGACGCCGCCATGGCCAGGGCCCAAAAAAAAAGCGACTCCAAGCTGCAGCTCCAGGCTTTAATTCTCCCCCCCTCCCTGCCTCCTCTGGCGGCTGCTTCATTTTTAATAAAGAAAAGAAGCAAAAAGGCACAAAAAGGAAAAGGAAAAACTTCATGTCACCGTGGAGATTTTTGTTGTTGTTGCTTTTTAGGCGCGTTCTTTTTATTTATTCTCTTGCTGCCGCCACAAAGGAGTGGGGCAAGGAGTGTTGCAAGGAGCAGGGAGAGGGGGGGGGATTAAGAAGAGGCCAGGCTGGGGACTGCGATTGCGATTGCGTCTGCGACCACTGCGATGGCGGTGTGCTATGAATGGAGGAGCCCAGAGATGGAGCTCTCTGGGGCTCTCTGGAGTCTCGACTCGGCGTGTTCTGGAGATTAATAAATTGATGGCATCCATTGCACATAACGTGTAACTAATGGCGCTCATCAATTCTGCTTTACATCTCAATCTGGCTTTGGTGCAAAAAAAAAAAACAGGAAAAAACCACAACAACAGCAGCGAAAAATACACCAAGGAGCGGCAGCAGCAGGCCGTAAAGGCTCCACCGGATTCCAGTAATGACGCGGCCAGGGTCCGGTCCAAAGAAAGGACCAAAACACTTGAGAGAGAGAGAGAGAGAGAGAGAGAGAGGACTGCTCTGATGTTCACTTTCACTCGGGGAAAAAGTGAAAATGGTAATCTATATTTAGAAAAAAGGACTCGCATCCTCCCTGGAAACCTCTCCCCCACTTATGCAACGCGTATCCTTTGAAACTGAAACTAAAACTGAAAACCGAACCACATGGTTTCCTCCTCCCTTCCTCCCTCCCTGTGCTCTATTTTCGGGGATTAGCTACGGATCTTTGGCATCTCTTTTGGCACAAACCTTTCTCGGTCTTTCGCTTTCTATTGTCAATTTGCATTAGGCGACAGGACCGCCTTCTGTGCTCGGATCGAACGAAACCCAACCCTGTCCTGTGTGTGTGCACCTCTTTTCGCATTCATCGATTTTTGGGTATTTGGGAAATTTGCAAAAATTGAGGCGAATGTCAGGTATCGTCGGAGTGCCAGAAGGCAACGCGAAACGTCTCCTCGTTGCAGATGGATTACGCCTAATGTCGAGCAATTGGCCAAGGCAATAAAGTGAAATCACCCGGACGTGTCAAGGTCGTTGAAACGTGCATACACAAGCAGACAGAAACAGGGGAAGGGGGTGAAAGAAGGTAGAGATTTGGTTTCACATACAAGTACAGTGAAACTTGCACTGCAAATCGCTTTCTATGAGTTTTAGCAGCTTATGTTAATTTTGAAAGTATTTAGAATATAAATTTGAGTTGAAAATAATTTTAAAGATTTTTGTCAGATTTTTTAAAGTCAGTTTTGTTTAGTTTTCCATTTGCGGCAATTCAAATTTTTCGCGCTTACTGCTTGAGCCTTGATCGGCACACAAGCAGGGGAAGCAGTTCACTCTTTAAACTGCTTTACAAGTAGAACTGCTTAGCTCAAGCAGTTTACTGTACTCCATTTGCAGAATTTCAAATTTCCCGCGTGTTCTGCTTAGAGACTTGGATCAACAGACAAGCAGTTGAAGCAGTGTTATCTCCATGAAGAACTGCTTTGGAAACGAGGTTCGCTTTAAAGCTTTTGGCTTGGCTGAAAAAATATATAAAATGGCATGGATTTCCTTTGCTCTTGTTGTTGTACGCACGTCTACTATACTAATTGGAGCTACTAAAATCGAATACAACGGGGGGGAACTAAACTACATTCAACCCACTACTATAAGAAGAAGAAAAATTCCACTTAATACGTTTCGTGGAATTATCGATCACTTTCCTTGACACTTACCAAACTGACTTCGCATCCAGGGATACAGTGGTGACGGCATCCCCGAGGATTGCGAATTCGGGTTTTGGGATGGCGGTGTATGTTGGCCCGATAAATGGCCCTGATGCATCTGCGGCGGCCCCTGGCCCTGGTGCATCATCGCCTGTGGCGGTGCCCCAACAGGTGGCACGCCCGTCTGCTGTTGTCCGTACATGCCCATATTGTGATGGTTTTGATGGACCTAAATGGATTAAAGATTAAACAATGTTGGTATTTTATTGGCTTAAAGTGAGAGAACCAGCCACCATTTTGAGGAGCGTTTAATGAATGATGGCGGGGGTGGGGGTGGGGGCGTCTTACCTCTGTAACATCGGGAACTCCAACGTCCGTGTAACCCAACTGTTTGTGGCAGCATGAGAGAGTGAAAAATGGGGAAAAAGCATTGAGTTATAAGCGGGGGATCAAAGCATTTCGAAACCCATCGACCCTTAAGCGATATCTACCCTTTAAGGAAGTTTCATTCTCACCTGCGCCTGCGGATGCCCCATGTGATGGGGCAGCGACATTTGTGCATTCATATGGTGGCCCGTCATCTGATCCACCAGTGGCGGAGAGCCACCCTCTGGGACCAGGCCCAGACCCACGCCCACGGCTGCCTGCAGCTTGCAACTGGCGTAGACGACAGGCTGCTGTTGCTGTTGCTGCTGCTGCTGCTGCTGCGGATGTGTCACCTGTTGCGTCACTTGCGGCAGTTGCTGGAGCTGCTGCTGCTGCTGCGGTTGTTGTTGCGCCTGCTGCTGCTGCTGCTGCTGTGGGTTCTGTGACTGCTGTTGGGGCTGCTGCTGCTGCTGCTGTTGGGCCACCAGCTGTCCACCGCTGGGCAGGCCGTTGGTCTGTGACTGCGGCATCACGCCACCCACCTGACTGGAGGGACTGTCCGGGCGGGAGTAGCCCTGGTGCTGCTGCTGCTGCTGCTGCTGATCCATGCCCTGGCCGTTGTAGTAGGGCATGCGGTCGTAGGGCGGGAAGCGCGGGTAGGGCATGTTGCCCTGGTGATTTGGATTCTGGCTGTAGTGATGCATCTGCTGGGCATCGAGATCGGTGACGCCGTTGCCCGGATAGTGGCCGTGGTGCATGTCGGCCCCCATGTACGAGTTGGTGAAGTACGACGTCATGCTTTCACAGTTATTTGTACTCATCGTCATTGTGGCGGCGTTGGCGTTGGCGGCGGCAACTGCGGCAACTGCTTCTGCGGCTGCTGCTGCTTCTGCTGCTGCTAATTCCGTGATGAAACGTGACTGCGAACGTGCAAACGTTCGGATGATCGGTTATCGGTTATCTGTTATCGGTTATCGGTTATCGGTTAGCGGTGACTCCTTCCTGCTGCTCCTGCTGCTTAGTGGCTAGTGACTAATCCTTCTTCCTGTTCTTCCTTGTGCTTTTAGCTACTTTTCCTTATATACAAAGTAAACTGTGAAAAGGAATCAATCATTAAGCATTTATCGATAGTTATCGCTCGCTCGATTACTCACCTAATTAACCCTTCCTTTTTGAACACTTAAGTACAATGTACAGTTACGTTGCGTTACGTTACGTGACGTTACGTTACGTGTGTAGTGGTGTGAGGTATAAAATGATTTCCCGCGTTTTGTTTTTCCGCTCTCTGTTCCTCTGTTCCTCTGTTTGTTGCTGTTTCTTGGCCAAAATAACCGTCTATTGATTTGGTGTTTTTTTTTTTTGTTTTTTTGTTGATCCTTAAATATCCTTATCCTCTAATTGGTATTCCTCAATTTTGATTTTGAAACTCTGCAAAAAGGGAAAGAGTAGGAAAAGAGTTGCGTTGTAGTTGTCGGCTCAAAGTTTTGTTTCCAACTGAAGATCGAAGAGGCTTCGTTTCGGGGGTCGCTCTTCTCATATGTTCTTCAAACATGTGCGCTCCTCTTTCGCCTGACAAATTGCTTATGGCATGCTTCGACAAGTTCTTAAAAATATGTCACCGAATCAACCATTCCCCAGCTCCAGTTCAGATCGAAAAGGGGGAGGGGGTCTTGTTGTGGCTTTAAAGTTTCCGACTAGTTGGTATTTTATGCTCATTATACCATAAATATCTAAAGGAACAGGGCATTCCTGTTGCTAGAGTTGCCACACCAGCAATTACAATTCATAGGGTTGTCATTCTTCTTAAAAACATTTATAGAAGATGCAAACTGTCTTCAGAAGCTACTATTTCGAATAGTATCACATAAATTCAAGTTTCAATTACATATCCAGAGTTGCCACACTCCATAAACTGCTCTGGCAACTCTGGCCACCCCTCAAATCACCGTTATTCCCCTCAAATCACACAAAACTTGAGCTGACATTTCTGCATTTCCTCTTCCCAAATCAGAACTTTGGTAATCCTCACCCGCCCCCTCCTGCCTGCTTTGCAAGTCCCTTCCTTTGGCCTGACAAGCTGACAACATTCATTGAATTTATGAATATGAAATCAATTGTGTTATCCCCTTTTGACCTGACATCCTTCCGGTCAAAGTGATTTAATTTCCGGGCTCATTATCACGAGTCTCTGACCTCATAAATCACACAGAAAAACCCCCTGCCCCCCACCACACACACACACACACAAACAGTGCAGAGACAGAGACAGAGAGAGACAGATAGAGAGAGAGAGAGAGGGGGACACACGTTACATGCCAAGTCATGCATATGCAATGCATGTCTCTGTCTTCTGTCTCTGTCTCTGGCCTTTTGGGGGCTCTGTGACAACCCTGCCGAAAAACCCCAAAACTAACTAACGGTAACTTGTTGTCGGAAATGAAACTTTCCCCCCCGCCCCCCACAACTTTCTCCACAACAATGGAGGACAAATAAAAAGAGCGGGCAAGAAAACTTTAAAATATTTTCAGGGCTTTGCATTATTCCACATCCCATTTTACATTCTCCTCTTTGACTGCTCCTTCCCTCCTTTATCCTTTATCCTTTCGCCATTTGCATTGTGTGCGTTTCCCCTGCCTTTGGCATTTTCCCTTTTGTTAACGAAATAATTTTCTTTTGCCTGCCTCCGAGGCAGCGCTGCCAAAGCCAAAGCCAAAAGCTTCCCTTTCAATTACACATTTCCCAATGATGGCGATTGAAGTTGCCAGGGGGGGGGGGGGGGGGAGGAGGACCAAAAGGAGCGGGGGCTGGGGCAGGCCATGGCGCGAAAGGACAATGGCAGCTTGGAAGCGGAAGGAAGCGTGTGTCTGTCTGTCTGTCTGTCTGTGTGGGCGGCGAGGGCCAAAACGGATGCCGGCAAATCGCTGGACTGTGCCCCCGATCTCCACTGCCTACGCGGAATCATGCCAAGGGGGTGGGGACCTTTGGGGCGGAGGCCGAGGGGTAGGCAAAGAAACTCACTCAAGCACAAGCGAGATGATAATAATGTCTGATGTGTGTTTTGTCTGTTCTTCCTGTCGCTGTTGCTGTTCCTGCTTTTGGTTTTGTTGTTTTGTGGCATGCAGCGGGGGTCTGGTGGTGTGGTATTTTAGTATATATGATTTATGTTTGTCTGATGTGATTTATTCAAGCGAAGAAAGTGCTCAAATTTGATTTGCAATAAAAGATTTCACACCATCCGCTTTAATTGCCAAAGGCTGAGTGTATGCAAGCTAGACAGAGTATTGATTTTTGGTTACAGGCAAAGATTATTCTATTCTTTAGGTTTCCAGCAAGTTTCATCAATACGTTCCCCATTCTGTGACCCCCAATCGCCCCTTCTAGCGCATCAACCCCATTGCCAGAGTCCTTCTATGCACTTCCCCTCAGTGGCGCCCTTTGTGTCTCTTTTGGGAACTACACCTTTTGACGAATGTCAAATACATGTCAATCACATGTCAAAACTACACACACATTCTACATGTGAAGCTCAGCCTGAAAGTATGCAGCGTATATTCGATGGAAGCAATGCGCCATCTGGATGATAATCAGTAAACTAACGCATCGCCGAAGTGGAACGGGCAGGGCGCAGTGGGCAAAATCTGCTAAGAGTATTAGAAAAAACATATTGGAATGGAAATTCATGATTTTCACACTAGGAAAAGGATTACCAAGAGAATCGCTGTAATTTTTTATTCACTCTATTTTCTGTTCCTTTGGATGCACTACATATAGAACTAAACCGATCTTGTGGGGATAACTATTCTATATATCAGCGTATTCCTCAATGAAACCAATATCTGCTACTTATAAGATATTATTCAATATTTTAAATTATTTCAAATTTCAACTTCATTCCTTAGTTTTTTTAAATTTCCTTCGACTTTCCTTCGTTGATCATTTGAAAGATCTTTTCATTCCTTAATTTCTTTAAATTTCCTTCTCCTTTTCCCACCATCTTCATTCCACTGTGCGCGGAAACTGCTCGTGCATTTAGCGGAGACAACAACCTTAGGTTTAAGCCCAACCCACTTACGCACACACACACACACACACGCCCATACCGTTACCAGTTTTAGCCACACACAGCGACAGACAGCTGATTGCAAAAAAGAAAGAAAAAAAACCCAGTAAACCGGACTACAAGTAGGAAAAGACCAATCCATCACACGGTTAACGCTCGCTCCCTCGCACACACACTCCAGCTCCAGCACCAGCTCCAGTGTCTCCCTCTCACACTCTGAAATTAGAGTTAATGAGAACATCAACATCCCATTCCGCTGTTCTACTCCCACGCATGCGCTGCTGTCCCTGTCTCGCCAACAGAGCGTGGTGTGTGAAGTGAAATGAAATGAAATGAATGACTTCTTTCTTCAGCCATCAACTGCAGCCATTTTGATTTACGACTGCGACTGCGTTGCGCTGTCATTGTCGACGCCGACGCCGACGCCGACGACGCCACTGCAGCTACCTCAGTTTCCGCTAGCTCTATCTCTGTTGCGCTCGCTTCTAGCTGCGCTGCTGTTAGACGAAGGCGTCGCTTGTCAACTGTCTTCTTGTTCTGCTTCTCGTCTGATGCCCTCTAATGAAAGTATGATGATTCTGACTCTGATTTGGAGCATTCACGATCGCGTCTCATATCATTTCAATAGAAAATATAGCTTAAATATCAAGTATTTTGTACCGAACTCTGGAAACTACAGTTTGGCTCTTCAAGGGTATCAAACATATCAAACCATTAAAGCCTAGACTTCCATTTCTTATACCCATTGTTGTCGGCATCATCAGAAGAAGGGCCGCCCCTTCACCGCAAAGAAGATGAGAGGCTTTGGCTTTGGCTTCGGCTTCGGCTTCAACGGTAAACCAAAGCCAGTTAGTGCGTCTTATCGCCAGGTGGGGAACGGGAGTAGGGGGATGCCTGGGGGCTGGGTTTCCTCTCCCTCTGTGTGTGTGTGTGTGTGTGTGTGTGTGTGTGTCTCTCAATTAAACCCCAAGTTGAAGAAAAACGTTCTGCTCGGCTGCCCGTCGCGACTGCCGCTGGCAGCTTAAATTGCTGTTTTGCATTTTATTTAAATAATAATTGGCTTGACTAACTTTTCCAAAGGGGCGCAGGGGCAGGCAGTGATGGGGCGGGGGCGGTGGTCGGCTTCCGAGAGGAGGAAGAAGGCGTACCTTAAACAAGGTGGAAGGTGTTCCAGAATACCAAATCAGGGAAAATCACACACACACACATCGGACTTTGTAATGGAAATGAGGAAATTTAATTAGAGGAACGGCTTGAAAGTACATAGACTAAGAAGAAATTACCCAAGATATAATTAGAAAGAATTCACGGAAAATAAAAGATACAAGAAAATTACTATAATTTATTGCGCAACAGAAAGGCGTAAAACAATCCATCCCTAGAGGCTAAGCTTCAGTGGGAGAGAGACGGAGTGGCACGAAACGACCCATCACTGAAGGTGACTTCACTGAGAGTGACGAATCCCATTCCTAACTGCTAAGCTTCACTGGAAGAGAGACAGAGTGGCACATAATCCATCCCTGAATGTTGAAGATTCACTGAGATTGAAGGGAAACCCATTCCCAAATGCTAAGCTTCACTGGGAGAGAGAAAGACAGCAATTCTTCTTTCAATAATGGTTTTCATCTCCATATATTCCCATAATCCCATTTCTAATCGTTTCCATCTTCAATTACATCTGTGATCGCCAAGAATCACCGTGGCTTTCCACCTCAAATCATTCCTCTACCATCATCCCAATCCTTCTTCTTATTCCCATCTCCAATCGGTCCCTATCTTCAATACCCCGCTTAGCCTCTAACCAAATGACCTTGTACTCAATCCTGTCTCTCTCTCTCTCAGAATATATTTCAATAATCACAAAACCAAACTGAAGAACTCAAGTAAAAGCCGAAGCAGAGACTTAAGCACGTGCTCAAGGGGGTCGGGATCGGGTACCGAAAAAATGCCAGAAGAGTTTATTGTGCCATCAACTAAAAGAGCAAATAAAATTTTATTACCACTATAAATTTCCAGGGCACTTGAAGAGAAGCGCACCAAAAACAGAGGCCAAAAATGTAAAAAAAAACAAAACGAACTCACGAAAACCCTACAAAAATGAAGCCAGAGTCGTGGGCAGGACTTTTTGAGAGAGGGTAGAATTTCAAGCAAAGATTTCTGCTTCAATTTGTTGTGCAGGTCCCCTCCTTGGCTACGCCTCTGTTCGGCAGGTTCTCTCTTTGCAGCTTTGCAGGGCAGAGGATAAGCCCACGCAAGACAGAGACGCCACCACTGCGACGACGGCGACGCAGACGACGACGACGACGACGGCGACGAAGTAGTGGAAGAGGACGAAATGATGAAGAGCGGCAAACGGTGAGGGCCAGGC